TGAAGGTGGAATCAAATTTCTTTTAATGTGTTAACATTTAATAGTTAACATGCATTAGATCAGATGACTTTCAGAGATGTATTATTTATAACAAAGGGTTAGTAGCAGTGACAGGGTGGAGAATTATTTTGTTATAAATCGATATTTAAATGGCTGTTCTGTAGTCTAGATGCATTAAATGGGATTTTTTTGTTTTACCAACATGTTTCTATTGGAGTAACTCTATAGGCTGATACGTTTTGCACTCAGTTTTATGATCGGTATAATAATTATTTTGTTCCTACCCAGTGATAAAGATGAATTGGACATCTTTAGCCGAGCGGGAAGCATTGTGTGTCGTCTAGCCTGGATGTTTTCCTTCCTCTTACTAAGAAACAAGGTTCTCCTGGAGAAAGGGTACAGTGGTCCCGGTCTCTGTGTCTACCAAACCTGCCCAAAGCTGGACCAGTCTACACTAAAAAAGGGCAAAAGCCATTTGTGATCCATAGAGGATGAGAAATAGTGTTTTATATGCGGAGTAATAAAATAAGTGGAATGTCACTAAACAACAACCACTTCAAATGATAGATTAACGTCCTCTCACTAAAGGCAGAATCCTATACACTCTCTCCCATCATCAAATTCTATTCAGCTGTAGAACAAAAGAAAAAAAATAGGAGTTAAAGGGACACCATAGGCACTACAACCATTTTATCTAATTGAATTGGTTATAGAGCCTAGAAGCCCCTGGCGATGTCCCTCCATTCAGTGTAGAACCATATTTGAGCAGTTTCTCACACAAAGAGGATATCTGGCTTCCCACAGCCCAGCCCCCACTGGAGATATAGCAATGGCAGAGATTACACACTTCCATCTAACTATACCGATTCATACCAGCAATGGGCACTGTGGTAGACTGAAAGGGGTCAGCTGACACTCTCAGCCAATCACAGCTACCCATTGCCGCTCTGGCTAATGATTCCTCCCTAGCCCAAGCAGAACAGATGGGATGTGCTGCTGATGACTCTTGTTTGACATTAAAAATTGATGAATGTTGAATGGAAGGACAGAGCCAAGAGTCTCCAGAAACTATTACTACTTCAATGATGTAGCCATTATAGTGCCTACAGTGACCCTTCAATGTAGACCAGTCTCTGAAGATCTTTGCACAGACCTTTCTAAGTGAAATGTCTCCTGGATAGAGAAAGTGACGAGAATATATCCACACACGAAGTTGTCCCCCATCAACACTGCTATCATTTGGCAAATAGTGGCATATAAAGCTGACTGTAGATATAGTATTTTTCTATCTTTGTGTAATAAAACAAGGGTCAACAGGATTCTTCACCAATCTGCCGGCACATGCATCAAGACATGATATCGGTATTTATTTCAGATCACTCAAAAAGATGCTCTCTCCATCAGTCATTACTCATCACTAGTAATGTCCCGAACTGTTTGCCGAACGGTTCGCCACAAACGGTTCGCCACGAATGGTTCGCCACGGACTCATCATTGAGTAAACTTTGACCCTGTACCTCACAGTCAGCAGACACATTCCAGCCAATCAGCAGCAAACCCTCCCTCCCAGACCCTCCCACGACAGCTCACTAAGAATGCAGCTTCACAATGGATGCTGTCCAGGAGGTTGGAGGGTCTGGGAGGGAGGGTCTGCTGCTGATTGGCTGGAATGTGTCTGCTGACTGTGAGGTACAGGGTCAAAGTTTACTCAATGATGAGTCCGTGGCGAACCGTTCGGCGAACAGTTCGGGACATCACTACTCATCACGGCTCATGGAAAATAGCAAACCATCAATCAATATTCTAGTTTTGAACTGTTTTTTTTATTACACCGGAGGTTCAAATGAAAGGCCAACTCAATGTAAAAATGGGTAGTTTTTCATAAACATAAAATGTACCATTAGACAGCATTAGAAAAGAAAAATGTCAGGTTACATCAATGATAAAGTCAGCGCAGGTAAAAAGCAAGAAATTATACAACTAATTTTCATGTATAGCTTGGAGGAAAGACGAGACAGGGGGGATATGATAGAAACATTTAAATATATAAAGGGAATCAACACAGTAAAGGAGGAGACTATATTTAAAAGAAGAAAAACTGCCACAACAAGAAGACATAGTCTTAAATTAGAGGGACAAAGGTTTAAAAATAATATCAGGAAGTATTACTTTACTGAGAGGGTAGTGGATGCATGGAATAGCCTTCCAGCTGAAGTGGTAGAGGTTAACACAGTAAAGGAGTTTAAGCATGCGTGGGATAGGCATAAGGCTATCCTAACTATAAGATAAGACTAGGGACTAATGAAAGTATTTAGAAAATTGGGCAGACTAGATGGGCCGAATGGTTCTTATCTGCCATCACATTCTATGTTTCTATGTTTCTATGTTTCAGTAATTTCTGATTTCTCAAAGCAAATTTTAACATCTCCTTCTATTTGATTTCCATTGATATATCAGAGATTGAGTGGAGCCAGCATCTCTGAAATGATCACGTTAATTTTAGCAAAGAATTTGGTCTATTTTCTAAAGGAATAGTTATGTATAAATAGAATTTCCTGTTCAGCACAGAACACATTCCTGTAAAGGTCTTCTCTCCGATTAGCTCAAATCCTACTTAAAGTTGATTAATGAAAAGTTGAAATTTTAGGGCAAATTCCTTCTTCAGACTGCTTATATAAACACTATGTTCCAAATGGTGTAATTTTAGAAACGGCTAACGTTTATTTTCTTTAAACAATAGCTTGTGCTAAATTCAAGTGTGTTTAAGGACATCAAGCACGATAAATTTAATTGTTTAGTTACATAGTTTGCTAGACTTGGGTGCCGCCAAAATTTATAAAAATTATGTTTCTTTAACCAGATTTTAGCCATTTGTTCATTCCACGGCTGTATCTTGCGGGCTGTTTAGCAAATATCTCCCTAAATTGGTACCCTTGTGGGATTGCCATACTTAAGGGTACCAAATAAGGGAGCTGTTTAATAAATGGCTCATTTATTTGTTTTATTTTTAAAAAGCCCTCACTTTCACAATTGTGGTCTTTCAGACAATTTTACTAATACTAAGTAAAAATACTTAGTATTAGTAAATAAGAGAGGTTTGATTTCTCCCTCATGCCCCCACCCACCATGCCGCATCATGAAAATGACTAGCGACCTTGCTAATGGCTGCTCTCTGTACAACAATAGACATGGACATTGTATGGCAGATAGGGGCATTAGGGAGGATTTTACTGTCCTTATATTAATATGTGCATCATATTGACCCCCCATAGGCTTAAGCATTAAGGTGAGGGTGGGCACGAGGGGGGTGGGGGGGGTTTAGTAAGCAGCTGGAAGCAGAGTTCTCCTCCACTACAATTTTAAATATTACAAGGAGGGAGCCAATAGCTCCCTCATTGTAAATAAATGAACAAACTAATTGCATAAACGTAATGTTGTCCAACAAGCAGTGCATTCTTCCTTTCATTTGTATTCATCCATTCATGTTTCGAAAAATGGTTGAATTGCCAAAAATTCAGCCGAAACTGTTTCATCCGAAAATAAATGCCCAATACTATAGTCTACACACACAATATAATATATGAAATATTAACAACATTTTGCAGAGTACTTTCAGCTATGATGAATATTGCAATTAGTGATTGTGATTTCATCTCAAAATTTAAAAGCAAAAAAGTGTACAAGCTGTTAAGAACCAAATCAAAGTGATAAGTGTCCACAGTTATAGCTGCACTCCCTCAAAGTGACAAAAAATTATACAAAGTAATAAAAAAAATATATACCAGAAGAACATAGTGCACATAAACTGATGCGAATCCTTCAAATGATATTATAAAAATTAACAACATAGATACACGTAGTGCAGACTATCTGATAAAACAACATAAGATATAGTGGGTGTCTGGGAGAGAACTCACAAGTACCAGAGCCCTATCAACCCTGGCTCTGGGTTTGAAGATGTCACCAGGTGATGTATTTACTTAGATATACATCAATGCTCTATATATATGTAGGAGATAAATAGAGAGACAGGAACCCCCAATTTAATAATATTTACAACTTATATTTATTCATATAAAATATTAAAAACTCTTTGGCAGTGGTGGGTATGCCAACAAACTACCCACAACTAGGCAAGTATAAAAAACATAAAACGCTACCGTCACACAGTCACTTCCGGGTTTTGCCCTTTCCCAATCACTTGAGCCTCGTAGGTCCGCCTCTCTATGACATCATAGAGAGGGAGGCTCACAAGGCTCATGTGATTGGGAATCGGCGAAATCCGGAAGTGACTGAAATCACAATAACAAAATAGCAAAACATTATCCAAGGCAGCTGTGTTTCCAGCTCACTTTTGTTCTTAAAGATACACTATAAGCACCATAACCACTACAAAGCTGCATTCCTAACACTACAGTGTCACTCTGCCCAAATCAACAGGGAATTCCTGGCTGTAGTGACGATGATGCTTGGAGTGTTACTTTCATTAAAATTGTAAATAATGAACTTGTGATTGCAATAGCAATATTAGATATAATCAATATTAACAGCAGTTTAGAAAAATGCAGCAATAAGTATATGCTATCAGAATATCCAGAGTGTTGCAGTGTGTAAAAACCTTATTTTGGACTAACGATTAGTGATGTCCCGAACGGTTCGCGAATGGTTCGCCGAACGGTTCGCCACGGACTCATCATTGAGTAAACTTTGACCCTGTACCTCACAGTCAGCAGAAACATTCCAGCCAATCAGCAGCAGACCCTCCCTCCCAGACCCTCCCACCTCCTGGACAGCTCACTAAGAATGCAGCTTCGCAATGAATGTAAAATGGATGCTGTCCAGGAGGAGAAAGACAAGCTTTCAAGAGATTTCCTCTCTTCTTCATGTCTAAAGCAATACTGCTGATCTATATTATATCTTGCTAAAACGAACCCATAAATGAATAATCATTGCACTGTACCAGGTAGATTTCCATTTCAAAGGAGAGAAAACCAGTACATGGAAAGTGGGACACATATAAATCACTCCTCAACTTTGTATCTGGATTGCATCCAGTGTTAATGGAAATCTAGAAAACCAGGCAGCATTCCAGCATTTGTTCAACATGACTAAGAGTAATATTATACAGAGCAAGAAACACAGGACAAAATATGGAAAAATAAAGATAAGAATGAAAAGTAATCCAACTCGGTTATTCAATTGCCAGGAGCAGAGGGTTCCATATTTTCTATAATTAATTTATGTTTGTGATTTCTGATGATGAGTCTGTAGTTAAGCTGATGATATAATCCTTACCATGGCATTGGCCTTAGTGAACTCTGACAAAGAAAATGTTTTAAAATGGAAATTACAGTACGCAGTAAAATCAAGAAACATTTTAATCTGCGGCCAAAAACATCCCAGATGACACTTCAGAAAAAAATGACTTTTTGCCGAACCTGGAAAATTCTATATGGTGGAACATTCCAGTCTCACATGCAGAAAATCTTGGTCAAACAAAACCACATAGTTTCAAATAAGTGTGAAGATAATAATTTTTATTCCACTGGAGATTGACGTGTCTCATCCTCCTAGGCTAGGACATAGCTTTCAGAGATTCAGAATTTTATTTAGAGGATCAGGGCTCTAAGTTCCAAATTCACCAAAGTCAAACTGTTCAACATTGTTTATTTGATTTTCTGAATTATGTAGTAGATTCCCAAAGCTCTTCATTTTTGGTGTGCTGTAGAGGCTATTCTAAACACAACTTCTGCTAAATGTAATTTATCTTAGACTAAATCTAACTCCAGTACATTCATTTTCTGAGTTAAGGTAGAGATTCATTTACACCTCGGTTTGACATTCCTTCCTCGTGGGTTTATTGTTAACGAGACCACATTCCGAACTTTCCACACGACTGTTCATTCTTACGTTAGCATTTTGTTACCTAGAAAAATGTTGAGATACTTTGCTCTACATCGTCTTTCATTCTTTTGTCTACAGTTTTATGCATTATATACTCAGTCTCAATGCTCTTGTTGTCCAGATCCCTGTTGTTTCTAATTGCAAATATATTTACACAGATACGGTTATTTCCTGAAGTGAGAATTCAAAGTGAATTTAAAATTTAAGGCCAGAAAAACTGAACTGACAGCATAGCTGATTTAGAGAATTTTCCCATTTTGACTCGTTTGAGCTTAAACCTAAAATTCGCTTTGAAATCACCTTGAATTCACCAGTGAATAACCCTGAGAGTATACTAGCTGTCTTACTAAAATTGGTAAGGGCTGCTGATTGCCATGGATTGTGAAAATAGCTAGTTAAATCACTTTGTTTCTGTTTATGCAGCCACAGCTCCCTTGGATGTGACTGACAGTCTGCATTAAAATAAAATGATTTCATTTTCAGATGTTAGCTTACTTTAAAAGTTTTTATTTCCTGCTCTGTAATTTAAACTTGAATCACACACAGGTGCCACTTGTAGGGTCTAGAAAGCCATTAACAGAGCAGGAGATAAGAAATTCTAAATTAAACAGAATTTGCAATAAAATAAGTTTAAACATTAGATGACTCTTTATAGGAAGTGGTTAGGAAGACTGTGCATGTCACATGCAGGGAGGTGTGACTAAGGTTGCATAAACAAAGTAATTTAACTCATAAGCTCATTGAGCAGTGAGACTGCAGGGGCATGATCTATTAACCAAAACTGATTCATTAAGCTAGAGTAATGTTGGTAAAAATAGTGACCCTTTATTTTTTCCTGTTTCTACATATTCTCTATTATTATTATTATTATTATTATTATTATTATTATGATAATTATATATCGCCATCAAATTCCACAGCGCTTTAGAATGGGTGGACGAACAGACAGTATTGATTCCAACAATACTCTGACATCTTTTCCTCTAACAAAGTTATCATAAAAACAAAATGGCTGGTTGCAACAGATTAAGGAGAATATCTATAGGTTGCTAACTGTAACTGTCCGTTTATTACTTTAAATCCTTGTTCCGCACTGACTGCTACAGGCGTAACCTTTCTGCCTCCCTCTTTGTTTTCCGGGGAATTTTTGATCATCAGACCCCCCTCCTTCCTTTAGTTTTGGAGGTAAAAAGGCTCTATGTGACGCGGCATTCAGATGCCAAGCAAGCCAGCAGCACCTCGTGGGAAGGCGATTGTTGAGTTGCACCCCTTGGCAAGCGGAGCGAGGTACACAGTAAAAGTGCATTGTCTGTAATAGTATATATGTTCTTAGGCATACATTGTGTCCATGCTGTTAGTTAAAAGATATGCTGTAAGTAATACAAATGTTTGTATATTAAGTATTGTAATCCAAATCCTTGTATGTAGTCATGTTTCCTTAGATGTTTAATGTAATTTAGATATGTGTGCAGACAACGGAACTCCACCTTCTAACTCCACATTTGGAATTCTGTTGTTACCCCCTTTTGGTGATCTCTGTAAACAAATGTATTGTATGTCATTTTACAGTTTTTACAGTGCTTATGGTTCACGGTGCTCAAGGTGTTAAAGAGATTAACGTTGGTGGTGTTCAACCCTCCTGCATACCTTTGATGCAAAAGAATAAAAGCACTGCACCTGTCAGAAGCTCTCCTCACATTATATACTCGATGCCAAAGGGTCCGCTACACTAACTATCAACATTTGGGTTTCTGTTTCCCCTGTTTAATGTTTTATCTAAACCCGGATTAATCACTGATCACTGAGAGTTCTTTGGCGAGTTTTCCTTTGCTCAACTGGAAACTGAATCAATGTGCTGTATTTGGAAGGCAATCAGAGATTTGTTTTAATGTCGGGAAGGTTTGCTGCATTGTAAGCATTGCAATGTGTTCTAAAAGTCTGTAAGTTTTTATAACAAAAAAAAAAAAATCTCTAAAAAGCCTTGCCCTTAGAAGTTATTTTTTTTCGAGCCACTTAATCAGGGTTAAAGCAAAACAAATATGTGTCAAAGCTATCACGTCCCAGTTACAATGTTATTACAGGGCATGTTAGAAATCTGTCGAGATACCTCAACACAAGTAGTCTCAATACTAATACTTGGCAATTTCAGTGACATCATTTAGACGTTTCTTCTGCAAATTATAGGCTTCCTGATTGCTTTCAATATATAGAGAACCGATTATCAGATTCAGTATTTGAGTGTGAAGGTGTGCAGTGCTGAATCTTAGTACGGGACATAAAAGGTTAAATCCTTCTTTAATTAATCTGATGCATTTTACATGAACTCCCATCAATACTGTCCAAAAAACAGAACCATAACTAGAAGTCAATTGTCCACCATGTATCACTCATTATCGAGCTGAGCATACAGAATGACAAAGATAAGATTTAAAAGGAGGTTAGAATTTATATAGAGCCAACAAATTACACAACTGTAGGAAGAGGATATTTAGAGATGAAAAGGCCAAATAAGATTACAATCAATGGTGATTTAAGATGGGTGTAGATATATTGTTAGGTGCCTTTGCTCAAAGAGATCTGACCTAGAGTCAAACCTGAGTGTCTTGAGTTTGAAGGCAACGATGTTACCACTACTCTAACCAGGTGATATATCAATGGGACCTGTATTGCCCAGGAAATGTTACCTAAAGACAAGGCATGTAGTTTTCAAGGGGAATTTTGTGGAGGTTTTACTATCAATATATTTACTATCACTATAATCCCGTATGACTTTTTATAGTCAGCGGAAAATGACACCAGAAGATGGTCCCAATTCCCTAAGTGTTCCCGAGACTGAGAGTTTGAGATAATTCCACCATTATAAGGGAATACTGGATAGAGACATATGGCTGTTTTAGTTGGTGCCTCTACTGTTTGGAACATGAAGACATTGAATAGCCTAGCTGCACTATTAATATCTATATCTCTATCAATATTTAGGTAATTAAAGCAAAACTGTTACTTGGGATCGTTATAGCCATAAATAGAATCTTTATGAAAATGAAAACCTTATTATGACTGCTTTGGACTTTCATTGGACTGCAGATAAAGCAGAGACAGCCGCCGAGCTGAAGACAGAGTTAAGAAGAATGGAGCTTATAAATAATATCCTTCTCCCCCTGTGTCTCCGGAGACATTACCACGCAAAGATACATTCCGGGATATCTGGAGGCTGCAGTGTCCCTTTAATTAAATGATAATACTGATGTCATTAGGTTGGAAATCTTTTATATTTTTACAGAGTACAAAGGAATTTCTCATCACAGTTCCAAAAGATAAGGTAATAAAGACAGATTGCAAGAGAATACTACAGCAGACAACAGCTCAAGCAGCTTGCCCTGTGGTGGGTCCCGTTTAGATCTCAAGCTGGTTTAAGCTCATTTTGTGCCATTGTAAAAAAAACTAAACCCTTTGCATATCAGACTGATCCCACCCAAAAGGGCAATCCAGATCCGAAATTCCAACCTTCTCCCCTGCACGAGAGATACAGCAACTCCAGACAATTGTTTTTGCCTGGTCTGGCCTCGTCAGCGAGAGCCAATACCTTTCTAGGCACCATGAGCACGGGGTTCCATGCCTGGTGTACACATTAGACTTAGGGAGAGCAAAAAAGAAACAGGGTGCAATAGAATACCGAGAATGGACGACAACTCGAATAGCTCACCCTTCGGTGGGTTCCGCTCAGATCTCAAGCTGGTTTTAGCTCATCATGTGCCATTACAAAAAGAAATAGAGAACCTAAATCATTTGCATGTCAGCCAGATCCAAAATGCCAACTGAAATGCTCCCTTGCATAGAGATACAGCAACCCCAGAAGATAAGATTAACAAATGCCAAATGACTTAACAATAATGAAAAAGGAAGATACATATTTTTCAGCTTGGGTATATAATTACGGCCGTGGCGCAGTTTCTTTGTGTAGTAAAGGTGCACATCCTGGTGCCCTTGTAAATCTTAATATTATTTCCCTCTCAGGATGAGAAATTCAATGAATGACTTAATCACAGCTCCCCCATAAAGAGAAAACAGGAAAGGTAAGTGAATGTTCTCATTTCTAAACTTTATCCCAGATTTTACATATGTAAAGCAACTTTTTCACATTTATACATAAGATCCTTACCTTTGCCCTACACACCAGCCAGAAATATATTATTACTATTATTATTATTAAAGGGGAAGCGGACTGTGTGTCAGGGTGAGTTCTGCTTTTTGGCAAGCAGTTACAAAATTATTTGGCAAAAAAAATCTGTGATTGCACCATAGACTCTGTGCACCATAAATGCTACACTGGGCTGTAATAATACACTGAGTTGTTGTAAAACACTGAGCTGCAGTGATTATGGTGGCGCCCTCTGCAAAGTAGATGTATACTTTCTTCTTCCTCACCTGGTAGCAGTTTAGAAGACTTGCAGTCTAATAACATCTCAATCCCATTGCCCCATGCTCTAGCTGCGAACATGAGAACTGAATAATTAGAGGAACTTAAACCATTTGTCGCCAATATATTAACAAAGATAAAAATAATCCTGGTGATATTTAATGATATTATCTATAAAAATAGCCGTGATGACAAAAGCTTCCTCTCTACTCCCACGCTACATTATCTGAAACTGGTGAATTTTTAGAACCTTATCATTTGTTACCCCATCCACTTATTTGTCTCACGAAGAACAATGGACGAGAATTATTTGTGACTAGATATAGCCGTGTAAGGTTTGTTTTAACTGGCTCTTTGCACTAATAAAAAAAAAATATCTGTGATTAGAGAAACGCATCGTTTAAGCAAAATATAACTTTGAATGACAATTTATAAATCCTTAAATCAACCAGGTGGACATGAAAGTGACAGGGAAGAAAATAACGGTGGGTAATTTCACTGTCCCCCTCAAATTCTACCTTTGGCTTATTCAATTTTTTTTGTATTTTAAAACTGGTAAAATACTATAACGCCAACTCCCACAATACCTTGCCAACCAGTGGGACATTAGCAGATTTATTACCAGTAGCTGCAGGTATTATTTGATAATTGCTGTATTGATATACTGTAATGCAGAATATGGAAAATATAAAGGCCAACCCCTGGAGCGAATAGGGAGGGGGGAGCATGACTGCTGCCCTTAGGGGTTGGCATAGCAACCAAATGGATACAGTTGGTTTTACAGTTGAAAGCATGGAATTCTGGAAAAAATAACAGACTACCAGTGAACAATGCTGAGGGAGCCTGGCAGTGTCTTTCCTCTGGTAGTCTCTGTAAAAGTTACTTTATTACATTGAGTTTTCCTCCCTGAGGGAACCTGGCAGAGCTGTTTCTCCTAAAAAAAAAAAAAAGACAGACATTACTTTTCCCTTCTACTGAGAGTACAGGATGGCCCACATCCCTCCTGTGTCTAGGAAGGCCCTGCTTACCCTATTGCAGGCCTTACAGAGGACCAATGGGGCTGAATCCTTTAACTCGCTGCTGCACAGTGTCCAGGGCAAGCAGGCTGCTTAGGTGCAGGAGGTGCAGACCAGGAGTGGACATCGGGCCCGCCATTCCAGGCCGCATTTCAAACTTTCGCCTAGTCCGGTGCGGAGGTCCAGGGTCAGAGTATTGCCAGAGGGTCCAGGGCAGAGTAAGGCTGGCTCCAGGCGGCAGGATGCGGGCATAGCTAGGCTGAGGAATGGCAGTAGGTACTGCGGAAGTCGAGGTGGCCAGGTTGGGCCTAGGGCGGCAAGATGGCGGTCTTCAAGATGGCGCCGGAGGCGAGGTGAGGTTCCGCAGTCCACATCTTTCTCCTCCGGTGGCTGCGAAAGTGATTTGGCGCATTCATCCTGAGCGCCACTCTCGGATTTCGGGTGGCGCAAACGTGGCGTCTGCACGTCCCGGAACACGGATGCCACAGGCCCCCGCCGAACCTGGAAGGGACTGGGGAATCAGAGGAGGAGCACCGCTGGCTCCCGGCACGTGGGGTAGACCAGCGGGTGGTAACGGGACGGTGGAGGATCTCGCCGGCTTCTGGACCAGAGGCCAAGGAGCATCAGGTAGGGATGCAGGATTCCCCTCCGCATGCCGGCATGGACAGACCAGAACTCCCTGGGATGTGAGCCGCTGCTCTCCTGGCAGAACAGCAGGCAGGCGTACTGCAGCACCCTCACAGCAAGAAGGACTGGAATTGGAGCCTGGGATAGAGAGATCCCTTCTCTTGAACCTTGAGTTGGAGTGCGCTTGCGCTTGGCAGGAGTTAGGGGGGGACTCAGGGCTAGTGG